ATAGAGGATAAAAGTGACAGAAGCAATGGCTAAACAATCAGGGAAGGCTTCTCTGTAGAAATGACATTGAAACAGAAGTCTGCATGAAATGAAAGAATGAGTCATGTTGATTTCTGGTAAAAGAACATTCCTATTAGTAGGAACAATATGTGCAAAGCCCCTGAGGTGGGAGCATGCTTTACTTTAGGGTGGAGATGGACAGCGTGGATGTGGTCAAAGGACAAAGCAACAAGAGTGTTAAACGTGTTTAGTAAAAGGGAAGTTAGAATGATGGGTCACGTAATTTGGACCGAATAAGAACAGAAATGACACCAGGGGATGCTGATAAATGAAGAGAAGCACATAACACAAGGAATGCAGAGAAGTTGAATGTCAGGTGTAGTAAGAGGGTGGGAGGAGGGTCTACTGTCAGAAGGACGGAGGTTGTAGTCAGAGAGTGGCAGTTTGGAGTTCAGTGTGGTAGAGGACAGCAACCCCCGGCAATGACAAGGTGCAAGATGCTGCTTTGAGTGGGTGAGGGGCTGGGGCAGCGGTGTAGCTGGAGTTCGTGCCTCTGGGAGGGGTCCTTCGATTTGCTGCCCTCCAACATTTCTGAATATGTGAACCTGTTTAAATACTGCCCCAAAAGGTGCTGCCTGGGACAGACTGCCTCTTCTGCCCGCCACACACACACACACACACACACACACACACCACCGGTTCATGACACACATGGCTGAGCACATGACCCAGCTGGGGCTCGGGATCCAACTCAGCCTGTGATCACAGAAGCAAACCAGGTTAGCTGGCCTATCCAGAGCTCCAGTCAGGCCCCACTTATTCCACAAGGAGGAGGGGGAAAGGAAAAGAGGGAGGAAGAGGAGCTGTGGGCAGCTGGGAGCTACTGGAAAGGAGCTTCCCACTCAGTCCTCCAACTACAGCAAAGAGACGACCAACACTCACTCTCAGGACAGACCCCTTCCTTGCTGGCCAGCTGTCTGGGTAGGAAGGTCATGGGCCGTACAACACCAAGGATCAGCTCCATAAAACAAATTCTTGCCCCTTTCCCTCTGACCAGCCCTCCCTACACACACACACAGCACAGCAGGTATGATGGAATGAACACACACCAACACATGCTTTCTGGGGCTGGGAAAATACTCTCCATTTAGCACATGCCTTTCAGGCAAGGGATGAAGAGGCTGAACCACACACAGCTGGAGTTTCGTGTTCACTCAACAAATTTGTATTGATTTTTTGCTGGGCTCTGCCCTATATGTTCTGGTGGATCTAAAGATTTACAAAAGCAAGATCTTACCCTCAGGGATGGGTGACTTAGGAGGTACAAGTATCCTACTCACTTTCCTCATTGCAGAGACACAGTACGAGACACCCACAACTTAAAGGATGAGAGGTTTATTTTGGCTTACAGTTTCGCAAGTTTCAGTCCCTGGTTAGCAGACTCAAACACAAAAACAACCTGGTGGAAGAACCTGCCTCAGAGGAGAACTGCTCGTGTCACTGGTGCCAGGAAGCAGCGAACAAAGGGAAGAGCTAGCCAGGAAGAGAGATATACACTTCCAGGTCACACACTCAGTGACCTGCCTCCTCCAGCCAGACCTCACCTCCCAACAGCACTCTCATCTCTGATTCCTTCAATGGATTAATCCACTGATGAGTGTAGCTTGAGCCAATCATCTTCCACATACATGAGGCTTTGCGGGGGACACCCCAGATCTAAACCTCAGCAATAAGTAGAGGAAGCAAAGGATTAGTGCAAGGCTTTTAAAATAGATGCTCAACCAAAATTCTACAGGAGATGGAGAGATGAATTTGAGGCAGTCAGGGCTTAATGGGTGAAGTGGCTTTTGAGGTAGACGTTGATGGATGGTGAGAATGTGAACAAGAAGTGATAGGTAATGGGACGCATCAGGGAGAAAGGCTTTTTGGCTGTGGGGATGCAGAGATTGAGTTCACTGCTGAGGGGAGTGAGAGCCATGGGAAAACTTTAGGTGGGGGAAGACAGTGGGCCCCAGCGGAAAGAGCACAGGCTTTAAAAACCCCCGATCCTGATTAGAGTCCCAGTTCTGCCAGGGGGTCAGCTTGGACCCGTGAAAAACCACTATTCTTCTCTGGCCCTATTTCCCTTTCTACCACTGAGGACCCCACTTGTCTCCCAGCATGCTGCAAGGCCTAACGAGAAGGTGTGAGAGGGTTTGGAAGAAGCAGTCACGTGCTGTGCCCACAAGGCCAGGGGTCTTCAATCTGTCAGCCTCCAAGCTCACGTCAGCACTTAGGCCCGACGTGGGTTAGCTCAAAAGGCCCCTCCCCACTTGCAAACTGCAAGACTGCAGGTTTTCTTTGACTGTTTTCTCCTCTCAGTATCTTGGGACACTCCCAGGGGTGGTCAGCAGTCGTTGGAATCCCCCAAGGACTCTGCTTCCCCCTGCCACAGGCCATGGGGCTGCCCACCTGTGATCCCTCATGCTGCTCTTTGTATCGCTGCCACCAACATGCACCAGACTTCCGGCCCTCCCCAGAGCAGCAGACCGCTGCCTGCTCTGCCCTGCTGCCTTCACCTCCTCCTCCCTGCCTGCCTCTCCCTGCTGCCTTCACCTCCTCCTCCCTGCCTGCCCCACTCTCCAAGAGGGTCCCACAGCACAGCTGCTGGCGGCCCTGGTGCTAGAGCTCCTTGAATGCTGCTCGTTTTATACACATTTTCGCATCCACATACATCAGATAGGTGTTACTGTAAGCAGAGCTGTGATCCAGACACGGAGCAGATGCCACCCGGCAGGAGAACATGCGTGTTGGTGTGCTGCATTCTGATGGAAGTTAGGCAGTCATTGGTGCCCAAAGAGTGTAGGCCCAGGTCGGAAGCCAGAGCAACAAGACTCAGGTGGGCTCAAGTTGCAAGAAAAGAGAAAGAGACCTGGCAAAACAGCTTCTCCAATTTCAGAATTTGGCCTTTAAGCTCGCCCTGGACCAAAAAGTGCAACAAGTAGAGGCCAGCTGCCTGCGCGGGCCACTGTGGGACTGCAGTGACTCACAGCTCTTCCAAACACCGTGGATACAAAGACCCTTGTCCGTTCACCCTTCCCATCCCGAATCACTTCTTTCCACTTCAGGCCTGTTGCCAACTTGGGTTCAAGTCCCCATCGATGGGTGTAAAGATAGTGCTTTCAAGATAAGGAGATAAGGGAGGAGCTGAAGGTGAAGGCGGCAGGCCACCTTCACTGCCAGGGCCAAGGTGGACCCGGGGTGGGGGGTAGAAGTGGAGGCCATGTGCTGTGTGGAGACCATCCCTGGGCAGAGTCCAGACGCTGAGGGCAGGCTGCGGTTTGCTGGCTCCTGAGGCCCTGAGGCCTTGCTGATGTTTGCTAGAACAGTAACTGCCATTTCAGCAGTGTGGGAGGCCAAGGATGAAAAGAACAAGGTACAGATGAGACTCGCTTCGGTTCAAGTTTGGTATTTGCATTAATAAACACGTATATAACATTTACTCTTTACTCTCTGCCAGGCATGTTCTAGGAGCTTCACAAGCATTAACCCGTTCAATCCTCATCACACACCTAAGAACTTAGGGTTACTGTGACCCCCATTTCACAGGTGAAGAAACTGAGTGTTCAGAGAGCTGAAGTCACGCCCAAGCCCATGCAGCTAGACAGTGCAAGAGCTGGCATTAGAACTCAGGTAGTCTGGCTTCCAAGTTGTCCTAGCACTGCTCATAAAGAGGCAGGACTGTGTTTGTCCTTCAAGGCTGCCTTTGGGCCCCTGCTCTGTGTCACCCCATAAACTACCTGCTTGCCCTTCGGTATGGCTAATCCAATGCACAGAGGGAGCAAGGGGCTTTGAGGGAGCATCTCTGTGGTCCTCTGGCCTCCTGGAATAGCTTCATCATCAGTCCTAGAAGGAGTAGAAGAAAGGGGACAGGTACACAACAAGAGCTTCCTGGTCGGTCCTCTGCCCTCTGCTTTTATTCCTGAAGGTGGAGTTCACAGAGCCCCTCACTCATTCAACTCTGGCTGCCACAGGGTCCATGAAAAGTCCCTTTCCTTCCATAAAATAGCCTTCTGTACAGTCTTTGAATGCACTGTTACTGAAAGCTGCCTTAACATGATTGCAGATGTAGGGAGAGAATAAATACATTAAAAATAAAATCAGGAGGGACGGGCAGTATGCTTCTGGCCTGCAGCGTGAGCACTCAGCCATGGTGAGCACAGGTCTGATTGCCTGTCGGAAGCATTCCTCTCTGGTCTCCTCCTTGCCCGAGCCCAGAGGTTCTACAGGGGTGAACTGGGAGCTGACTTGCCGCTGGTGCTGCCTACTACTCGCTGATGTAGCTAGGTGTGAGGACGCGGCCTCAGTGTGTCCGCTTCGCTCATAGGAAGTCATGCTGTTTAGGAGTGACCTGCACTGCAGGGTAGCCAATCCCTGTACTAAAGCTTTGAGAGAAAGGGCATTTCCAGTTAACCAAATCTGTCTTCTCAGAGCCCCCAAACTCTGCTTTCTCGGTCTTCTCCCTTCGGTGGTATCATCCCCTGATCCCTCCAAATTGAGATGCCTTTGGGTTTCTGTTCCCTGCCAGGTGTGAATGGCTCTAAACAATGTGGACTTTGCAAAGCACAGAACGCGCAGCTGAATGGGACTCATAGGGTCTCTGAGGAGGGCTGCAGGCAGCTTCATGGAGTGGATGTTTCTGGAAGAACTCACACCAGCTCAAGCAAGGAACTCTCCAGCTGCCACCACCTTCCCCAAGGGCTACAGCGGGGCTTTCCTGTCGCAATGAAAGAGGACACTGGCTTTTTCTGGGAATGGCCAACTTGGAGGGGGAGCAGAAGGAGGGACCGATATTCATCCCAAAGCAAAGACAGGGCTGTACCCGAAGCCCCATGGGGGGAGCTAATGGGAAACAGCTTGCAGGAGGGAGGGAGGGGGACAGAACTCGGGAATGGCAGGGGCAGAGCTTATGAAGAGGGGGCTGGGAGAAGCAGGCTGATTGAGAACAGCTGTTGCTCTTCTGTCTCAGAGACCTTTGGACTCTGCCCGGGGCAGGCTCATAGCGCATGCCAAGCTACAAGGAGCCTGCACAGGTTGCCGGAGACAGCCCAAGGTTCCTCTGCCCACCGTGGCTCCCAGAAACTTCTGAAACAAAGGACCAGAGGAGAACTCTCCACCCAACAGCCGGACACATCCTCCCCATTGCCAGCCCCATCTCTGTCTGCCGCTGCCCAGAAAAGGCCTGGAAGACGAGACAAGAGGAACAGCCCTGCCCTCTCAACCAGCCCTGCGACTCTCTCAGCGCTGGCATCTGGAGACCCCATGGCCCGGGCTCACTGGGGTTGCTGCCCCTGGCTTGTCCTCCTCTATGGTAGGTGCATCCCGGCCTCTCTTGGAGAGCAGCTCCAGCCTGTCCCCTCTGGGCTCAGGAAGGGTTGGAGTGAGGGCTGGGGCCCAGGTTGTCTCTGTCTCTTGGTGGCCCTGTCTGTCTCGAGGAAGAGGCTCCATCAGGGTCAGTCTTCAGGGTCCTTGTGGCTTAGGTCAAACCTAGTTTTGCACCTTCCCACTCCTCACTACCAGTGACAGGATTATTATGACACTGGTTCGGAGGTAAGGAAGACTTTATTGAAGACTATTGCAATGGGCACCACGCAGCAGGGGAGATAGCAAAGACCACTGGGGATTTATAGCCAGTGAGCAGAGTTGGGGGTCAGTGCACGGAAAGTTAGTAGGAGTCTCCCAGAGGAGTCACCAAGGGTAGTGGGATTCTTGCTGATCTGACTTCCCAGGATTCTTGCTGAAGGCAAGCCAGGGTGATCAAGAATGGCCATGAGAAATCTAATCAGATATCAAGGGTTCTCTCCAAGCTCAATTGACAGGATTCTTGTCAAGAGGGGGCAATGCAGGCCTGGCAAGGACGGCATAGACACAAAAGGCCAAGGTTGAGGCCTTGTCAAGAAAAAATCTCAGAGGAGCCTATCTGAAGTTCCGTCAAGGAGCTTCTTTGTCACCCACACAGTGCCCTGTTTGTCCTCAACTAGGTGCACAGTTCAGCTCCTCTCCCTCATCCTGGCTTTAGGGAGGCCTGTCTTCCCTTCGCTCCCTGTCAGCAGGACCCTACTCAACATCCAATTCAAGTACTCCCCAGCGCTGGGCCCTGTGCTGGCACCACAGAGTGATTCGGCTGCAAAGCCTGCTCTAGGAGAACAGCCTCAGAGAACAGCAGATCCTTGTGTCCAGAAGGATATGCATTGGGGCTGGGGATTTAGCTCAGCGGCAAAGCGCCTGCCTGGCAAGCGCAAGGTCGTGAGTTCGGTTCCCGATACCGGAGAAAAACCAAACCAAAAAAAAAAAAAAAACAGAAGGATATGCATTAGCTGGGTTCTGATTCTCAGATTGGCATCTTAGTGCCACCATCTTGCGAGAGATCTGTTCCTGTATAAATAGATGTTTATTTTCTTAACTTAATAGTGTCAGTTTCATCTCACGCTTGAGTTTATGAGACTAACAGCCAGGCAGGGCGTCCATGGTGTTAGTCCCAGCCACCCTCCTTCTATCTCACCTCGGAGGTAAAAATACAGTCTCTCAATACTTTGGCCTCCATGTCTCTCTAGGGAATTCCAGCCTAAAATACACAGAGTGGAGAGAAAGACTACTAGAGATTACTGGACCTTCAGGGCAGGCAAGGACTGTAATGCAGCCCTCTCTTTTACAGAGGCTCAAAGCTGGAGAGCAAAGCCCAGTGCATGACATAGAGTAGGCCCTTAGGAAACATTTGCTCAATGAATATTGGGTCACTCTCCTAGGATCACACCAAATTTGGGGCAAAGTCCAAATTGAAAACTAGGTCTCCCTGTACTCTATCCCTTCTAAGGCATCCCAGCCCCTTCCAGGCCTACCTTCCAAGGTTGACACTGAGAGGATGGAAAGGTTAACCCCCAGCTTTTGTTTGGTTGGCAGTGCTGAGAACTCAACCCAGGGCCTCGTACAGGCTAGACAAATAAGAGCTCTACCACTGAGCCACACCCCCAGCCACACTCTTGTTTTGTATTCCAGTGACTTGGGTTCAAATCGCCATTTGACCACTGACTCATTGTGACAAAACTTGGGCAAGTTACCAAAACTATTTGGGCTTTGGCTTCCTCCTCTGTAGAAAAAGAACAATAATATGCACATGGGGTTATTCCAAGTATCAAATGAGATACAACTGTGCATTGCTTAATGATGGGGACATGTTCTGCAAAATGTGCCATTAGGAAATTTTGTTGCTGCGTAAACATCACTGAGTGACTTACAGAAACTAAGATGGCTATGAGATCATGATATAATCTTTCAGGTCCATTGTCACATCTACAGCCCTTCGCTGACCAGAACAGCAATATGCAGCACATGACAGTGCTGTAGACATACCCATTGCTGACTTGAATATCTGGCACCTACTAGGGGCTCTTTAAAATGCTAATCGTCTTTCTCCATCAGGCCACGATGTTCGACTAGGAGTACTGTTTATAGATTTAGAATGTGCCTGCAACAATAAGCAGAGATTTGGATTATAAAAACAGTACAAGTGGGCCTTGAGTTTAAGTAAACCCAATACAAAGAATTAGATTTTTTAGGAGGCTAAAAGGAAGGTGATTATTTAGTGAGATCCTCTAGAGCATTTCAAAGAAAATTTGATTACAAAAATTTAATTTACACACAACTTTTCCACTTCACTAGACCCTGAAAAGACCCAATTAGATTAGAAGAAAAATTGATGTAACGAACACTAAACCCATCCAAAAGTGGCAATCGTTTGTCGATGAAACTAGTGTCTTTGATTGTGACCCAGGGTGCCATCCAATTCAGCCTGATTTCCTATAAAATGAGATTATTTTTAACCTCAAGTAGAGTTGGTGTGTTCCAAAGGGTGGAGTGGGGGAGGAGGCTGGAGGCTATCCCTGCTCTCTGAGGTCTCTCTGGTCTCCAAATAATCCTGAATTTTTTTCCTAGCTTGTGTCTGGTGCCACCCAAAGCCAGGGGACCTTGGAAGAGAAGATGTGAGAAACTGTTCAGCCAATCCTCAGGTGAGGCCTTGGGATCACCACGCCAGGGTCTGCCCTCACGCGTGGCCCGACCCTCGTCCCCTCCATCCCCCTACTGACTCAGTTGCTAGCCTCTCCGCCTATAGGCTTTCTCCTGATTCCTTGTTCTGGGGCTTCTATTTCTTATTAACATGCATCAATCCGGTCTGGCAGCTGTAGAGCTCTCTAACAGACCCGGACCCCTGTCGTGTCCCTTACTCACTACTTCAGCTCTCTATTTCCCCCTTAGGGCCTGGGAAACACCCGCCCCCAAAGGGAAGAGAAGGAGGGAGAAGTAACAAAGAGGGAGGGGCATCTTCCAGCTGGTCTTTGGGTGAGGCTCAGCGGAAGCTAGGCAGAGGCTGTGAAGAAAGAAAAATTCTAGAAGAACGGCAAAAAGGGAAGCACAGAAAAGAGGAGGGAGGAAGTCAGTGGGCCAGAAGAGCCAACGGAAGCGCAAAAGAGGGAGGCCTCTAGGCTATGAAGAGCAGAAGGCCAGGCAGTTTGGAGCCAGAGGGAATCAGGTGGTCAGCTTCCCAGCTGGAGACCAGAGGGACGGTGAGCTAGAGTGGGGCTTAAAGATCTTCTCCAGGCAGGGGTGGCCCCGAAGTATGAGGCGGTGAGCAGACATGTGAGCACCCTGAGCCACAGGATAAGCACAGTGCATCTACATGTGGGGTCGACTTTATCATACTATTTAGTTAGGCAGATGGGTGGGCAAGCACATTGCTTTTATATTAAAATAACCCTGGATAGACCCTTTAGTAGAAAACAAACAAAAAACATGGTTTTCATTTGAAAGATAAACTGGCCTTTGTTTTTTTAGTTTGTTTGTTTGTTTTTGGTTTTTCTCTGGTACCGGGAACTGAACTCATGACCTTGCGCTTGCCAGGCAGGCGCTTTGCCGCTGAGCTAAATCCCCAGCCCCTAAACTGGCCTTTGAAGATGCATCAGGCTTGGAGGGGATCTTTCCAAGCCATGCCTTACACTGACAGGAGTGCTCGTTCACTGTCCTCTGCCATTTGGGACCAGTGAGAAACAACCTGAAAAAGCACCCAAGATAGGGTTGCCAGATAAAATACAGGACACTCAGTTACATTTGAATTTCAGATGACAGACAATATTTCAGTCGAAGTTGCCCCAAATAGTACAGGCGACACACTTACATTAAAACATTATTCACTGTTCATCCGAAAGTCAAATGTAGCTGGGTGGGTGTCCTACATCTTTATTTGCTGAATCTAGCAACTCTAACCCCAAGGTACCCACACTGGGGGCTGTCCCGCTGGCCTGGGCCAGTGCCTAAGCTCAGGCCCTGCAGTTCTCACCCACACCCGCTTCCCAGACTACAGTGCCATTACTGTCACAAGGAGTCTTTCCCCAAGCTCTGCACTTCCATCTCAGCTCAGCACAGACATCTGAATCTAGGCTTGGGAGGAACATCTCCTGCCCCCACATCCCACTCAGGACTAACCACCCCCAGCCCTGCCTCAAGAAATGCTGGAGGCTCCTCTAAAGGCTTCGGTGGTGATGGCTGGAGAGGGGTGGAGGTGACATTTTCTCTAAGCAGTGTATGTATTTGGGTGTCTTCCTGTCATCTGCTAGCACCTTCCAGTCACTGTGGTCAATACCACAGTGAGGCTCTTAGCCCTCCGCCAGCAGATGGAGGCCTGGAATCTCTCTGCCTACATCATCCCGGACACGGATGCCCACCAGGTAAGGGACTGCTCCTCGCTGCCTTGCCATTGCCTCTGCGCCGGAGTTGGCCTATGTGCACAAGCACAAACAGGACACTTTGTTAAGACTCCAAAGGTGAAGGCAAAGAAAAGATCTGACAGGCCAAGAGGTAAGTGGAGAGCTTGCAGACAGTAGTTTTAGGAAAACTGAAAGAACATATTCCTTTACTTTACACAGGAGGGAAGACATAGCCAAAACTCCTTGACCTCAAGAAATGAAACTATAAAACAACTTGAGAATCAATTCCGACCAATTCCCAGGTGGCAGATCCAGAAGGAATAGTTAAGGCATCCCTGCCCTAGGAGGTTAGAATGGAGACTGGGAATTGGATTGGAAGGACCTGAAGCTCCCTCCCAGCCCAGGCCCTCCCACAGACGGAGCAATGACATGATCCAGCATTATATTATATATTATTATAGATATCTGCATTATTATAGATATATAATCTATGCACACTCTTCCATATACTTTACATCTCAAGATTATGTATAAACCTAATACAAGGCAAATGGATGTCATACTGTGTTATTTAAGGAATAATGATAAGGGGAAAAGTCTGTACATATTCAGTACAATCACAATTTTTAAAAAACTATTTGGGCCTGTGAGGAGGTGAAGCTGCAGATGTGGAATCCATGGGTACAGAGGTCCGACTGGCACAATACCCAGAAGCGATTTATGATGTGCCCGGTGTACAGCAGGCGAACAGAGAGGGAGAGGAGCTATCTGGAGGGCAGAAGCAGGTGTCAGGACCCTAGATACACACAATTCACATTCTGATCAGGGTGGCAAAACTCCTTTACAGAATAATCCAGTGAAACCCTGAGTCCATTGTTGGACAGTGGGGTTGAGACCCCAAGAGCTACAGTTGTTCAAAGGTGGGGGAGACAGAGGGCTGGGGCACCTATAGAAAGCTTCCTGGAAGAGGTGCCCGGGATGCTTAGCCATTTGGGACTGGTTGCAGCTGACCAGAAAGAAAAAACTGGGATGTGGTTAGGGCCCTTCTTTACGGTGTCTGACTAAAGAAAGCTAATAATTATGCTGTTGTTGATTTCCTAGAATGAATACATCGGAAAACAGGACGAGAGGCGGGCATGGATGACAGGCTTCACAGGGACTGCAGGTGACAGCCATTACCTCCCCTCGTTGCTTCTGTTGGTACATCAGCAGACTTGGCATAGCTAGCTCCTTCGCAGCCAAGGACCTCAGGACCTAGGACCCAGAATCCCCTTCCTTTCTCCCTGCCACCCACTCTTCTGCCACCCTGAAGACAGGTTCCCCAAGATACATCCTTCAAAGCACAGTGGCCACCTTTCTGTGGAGAAAGGAAGCAGATGGCCCTCCTGGCTTCCTCGCCATGCTCACTGCCTCTTCTACAGCCAGGCCGAGTCCAGTACTCCCCGGGCTCCATTTCTGAGATAGTTGCTACTTATGGACCCGTTCTTCCCTTCACATGTTGGCTCATTTGGGGCTAAAGTTTTACTTGCAGGTCTTTTTATAGACAAGATCACTTTACATGGTGGAAAGAGACACAAACACAGAGACCCATAATGCTGTCCCAGTTTCTGAAGGGACATCTGATCCTAGCCCATTGAATGCAATCTAAGCTGCCTTTGTTGATCCTCTAACATGCTTTCCTGAGCCTCGAGCTGTCCTGCCTTGCCTATCATAAGCCTTATTTCTTTGCCAATGTTGCTGGATTTGTCTTCCCTACCAATCCTCACCTAAGCCTCTGGCTTAGTGTGCCCATCAGCCACCAAATCTTAACACTAAATCTCATCTTTCCTGAGAGCACCTACATGCAGCATGAGTTCCTCAAGGCTGGCCAAAACAGACCCAGTCTCCTGCCAAAAGTTCTGATGACCCCCTGAAGAGGCCCTCAACCCAAAGCAGAGATGCCTGCCTTGGGACACTTCTTCTGCCAGACCCTCCTTCACACTTCCTGCCTCACTGCCTTCCAGTGGAGGAGACAAACTCTTTCTAGCGATACCTTGTGACATTCTCAGAGCCCACACTGTATCACACATCTACCATCTAAAGCCATAATCCTCACCTTCACCTTCACCTCCACCTCACCTGCAAGTCTCCCTGTTGTGCCCCAGGTACTGCAGTAGTGACCATGGCGAAAGCAGCTGTCTGGACTGACAGCCGCTACTGGACTCAGGCAGAACGGGAGATGGACTGCAACTGGGATCTCCATAAAGAAGGTAGACAGCCACATGGGTTTGTCCCCATCAAAGACATATGTGGTAGGACTGTCACAGACAGAATCCCGGCTGGAGGGCCTAAGGCTGGCCCTGCGGGTGACCTCTGAATTTCCTCATGTCTTTCAGTTGGTATCAGTCCTATTGTCACCTGGCTCCTAGCTGAGATTCCTGCTGGAGGGCGTGTGGGCTTCGACCCCTTCCTCGTCTCTTTTGGTATGTTCTTCCTTCAGTTCCATGGATTTGTCCTCAGCAGCACGGGTGGCTCGGTTTCCCTAGGAGGTGAAAAAACACTCTTTTAGAAGGAAGGGCAAGGGGCTAGGGATTTAGCTCAGTGGCACAGCACCCCCTGGCAAGCGCAAGGTCGTGAGTTCAATTCCTGGTACCAAAAAAAAAGAAAAAAAGAAGGAAGGGCAATGTGACCATAAAGCTCAAAGTGTTTTGAAGACATGGTTGCAGAATATTTTAAAACAAAGATATATTCATGGATTGTATAAGTTAGAAATGCTAAAGGAGGGCCAGGGATATAGCTCAGTACCACAGCACCTTCCTGGCAAGTGTAAGGTCCTGAGTTCGATTCCTGATAACAATAAAAAAAAATGTTATAGGGATGAATACAATTTTTTTTAAAAGTAGTAAATGCAGAAAGCCAACATAGAAGACAAGGGATCATTAATATCTCTTACACGAATAGACCCAGATGTCCTTGCATTTGAACCATCATCTGTGTCCTGAAACTACTCAGGGATAGTACTCAGAATGACTGGGAAGTCCTCTTCTAGAAAGTACCTTAGAGGATCAAAGGAGTTGGTAGGGACTATAGCTTGCCGAGCTCCATGCCCCAGATATCCAGCCTGCCCATGACCTCAGAGGTAGAATCCTCATGAATATGCACTGACAGGCTCCTACTTCTGAACTGACTTCTTTGCTAGCCTGCCCAGTGACCTGAACATCACCATTCCCTTGAACCATAGCATGGAATCTTGGTGAAAATAGTACCCAAAATAGGGACTACCCCCAGCCATTGACACTTACAAAGGCAAGACCAGCCAACTGTTGGTGGACACCATTGAGGCAGACTCAGGGTATCTCAGCTTGGAAAGCAGAAAGAGGAGAGGCACAGCCCCACGGTGGGGCGCACATTACAGAAGGTCCAGATTGCTGGGACAGGCTCGGAGCCACTGGAGCTAGAGGTGGGACTGGGGCAATTGGGAACGAGACTAACTTTATTTGAGCCACAGGTTTTCCTGAGATGTAAACAAGCAAGGGGCAAATGACTCCTTCCTGTCTCCACAGGCTCCTGGAACAATTATGACACAAACCTCCAGGGCTCCAATCTACAGCTGGTGTCCATCACAACCAACCTTGTAGACCTGGTGTGGGGCTCAGAGAGGCCCTCGGTGCCAAGTGAACCCATTTATGCCCTGGAACAGGCATTCACAGGTGATTCAGCAACCTCTCTCCTTTCCAACTTGTACCAACACAGGTCCCCACTACCATGGGCCCCCACTGCTGCTCCTTTGACTGAAAACGCACCACTGGAGGTCCCAAAGCAATGGTTTGCAAAGCTTAGCAAAGACCAAAGTTGCCTGACATGCTTGGTTAAAAGGCACATTTTTGGACCCTCTGTCCACAGAGAGTCTTAGTCCAAAGGTCCCCAGACCATATTTAGAAACTTGTGGAATAAAGAGTGTCAGGATTTAAAGCAAAAGGCAGAGGCAGGGGAGAAAACAGGAGAATCAGAGAAAGACGGGACAGAACCCTCTGAAGAGAGAAAACACATGACGTGCTTTGCTTGTCTGATAGTGGAGGCTGGTTCATGTTGAATCATTCATCCCTTTCAGTGATGACCCTCCTGTGATGAGATATTTAGATTTGTGAGATGACTGGGGTAGACAGAGGAAGTAAATAAGTGCAGGGTCAGTCTGTGGCACAAATGAGGGTTCAGGTTTTAGCTGGACCACAGAGGAAAGTTAACTGACCTAGAAAATTCTAATACCGTCTAAATCTTTCCTCATAAAAGATCAGTATGCACTCTGATTCTTGTAAGTGATAACTAAAGTCCTGACTGGGCTAGGTTACTTATTATGAATCAGCATCTTGGCTACCAACCACCCCTACTTCTGGGAATTCTGAGAGAGCCAATAGATTTGGATTCCCAGTCACACTGGGCAATCTGAGAGACCCCTTTCCACATGTGGGTCTATCTATGTTTCTAGTTCAGAAAGGAGTCAAAAACTAGGAAGAAAATTTCAAAACTGTAGCTATGATGAAAGTAGTGAAAATTGTGTCCAATTCTTTTCATGTGTTCCAATCTAACTTGCAGAATCTTTCTTCTGCATCTTGACAGTTTTTAAAGAAACTTTCAATCCAAGACTGATCATAAATAAACTCATTTTATTGAGATAAAGAAAGTCACAAACATGGCAGGAAGCTGCAGGGATAAAAAGGAAAAATCTATCAGGGCTTGGGACAGAGTCATATGGGTTTTGTCACTTCCCACAAGTGAAGGGATGGCAAGGCATCACAGGCTGCTAGTCTTCAAGGAAAAGCTATCTGGAGCCAGAACCAAGCGTTGGAGGCCAAAGGACAGAGTTCAGCTTAAAGAAGCTTTGACAAGAAAACTTTTAGGTTGTAGGTTTCAAAGGAAGGGTAGAGGGGCAGGGACAAAGGAAAGAGCATGAAAAGTTAACTACTCAAAGGTAGCTGTATGCATCAGACCATTTCAACTTGGTTTCTTTTGTTTTCTCAAAAATGTGTCATGTTCATGAATCTTAAAAACATAATTCTAAGAAGCCAGTCAGAGAAAGCCACATATTATACGATTCCATTTATATGAACCAGCCAGCGTTGCCAAATCCATAGAGACTGAAAATAGATTAGTGGTTTCCTGGGCCTGGAAAGAAGGGGGAATGGGGAGTGAGTGCTTAATGGGTACAAGGTTTCCTTCAGGGATGATGAAAACGTTCTACCGATAGCAGTGATGGTTGCACAACATTGTGAACGTCACTTAAAGCCAACTGAACTGTGTACTGTAAAGCGCTAAATTTTATGTGATGTCTATTTTACAACAATAAAATAAACCTAAAAAAGTTTATCATACCCAAAGTTTTGGTTCTTGTTGAATGGTTTTACCTGTTTGCATACAGTTTTTAATGGCATTAAGTTATAATTTATGCTGTATCTGAGCCCAAGTAATGCTTCCTAATGCTTATGATATTTTGCCCCCAAAACACTCCCTAGTGTTGCCTAAAGGCAGACTGTTTTCAGTACTGGGAATTTAAACAGGGCCTTCACCATGAGCTACATCCTCAGTCCTTGTGTGTTTTATTTTGAGACAGGGTCGCACTAAGTTAGCCAGGTGAAACTCAAATTTGTGATGCCCTTGCCTTAGCTTCCCAACTGCTGGGAATGGACAGTAGACTATATGTCTTACCGGGGCAGGGATAGATGATACAAACTAAAACCCTAGATACAAGCGTCCTAGAGAGGACTACGCTGGGACACCGAGTGGGACAGGTTTGGAGACTGACAATGCTGTCAAGGCAGTACAGTGTCTGCACAGATTAGTAGTTTGAGCCATATAGCCAGACAGACCTGGGTTCAAATCCAAGCTCCACCCCATGTAGCTATGAAACTCTAGACAAGTCACTTTGTCTCTCTAAAGGCTCAGTTTCCTTATCTCTAAAATGGGGCTAAGTGAGACTTAAAACAATGTACATGAAGTGCTTAGTTAGCCTAATACCTGTGGCTTAATGGGGTTAGTGCAGGGAACAGTTGAACATGGTCACGGCCCTCTCCCTTTGCCCTTCAACTAGGGCCACTCTCCTGATCTCTTTGTGCATACTTATTTAAGAGTGAGAAAGCTATACCAGACTTATTATATACCACAGCACCTTTCTATATGCTTTACAAATCCTCATTTGATCCTCATAGCAACCCTGTTGAGGTTCAAAACTATTATTATATCCCATCCTCATTTTATAGCTGCACAAAATGAAACACAGAGGGGGCAAGTAATTTGCCCAAAATCACCCAGCCAGTAATAGCAAAGCTAAGATTCAAGCCCAGTCTGGGTCCAGAACCCATGTCATTAATGACCACATAGGTTTGTTTGAAGGAAGGTTTCTAGTGCTTCTTAAGGAATGAAAAGGCATTACCTTAAGGGAAGCAAGTGCCAAAGGTAAGGTATGTCACTTACAATGTCTTTGGGTTCCTTTGCTTCTAGGGAGCACTTGGCAGGAGAAAGTATCCAACATCCGAAGCCAGATGAAGGAGCATAGAAAGGCCCCGACTGCTGTCCTTCTGACGGCGCTTGATGAGACGGCCTGTGAGTGTGGATTTGTGCACGTGGGTGGGTGCCATCCCCTCCCCAAACCTCCTTGGCCCAGCAGCACAGAGCTCTTCCCACAAACAACCACGCACACACCCATTGTTGCGAGCCACAGTAACCATGGCCTCGGGGAACCGAAAGGGGTAAGGGAGCAGCAGCTCATCCCTACAGAATAAGGAAACCCGCCCCCTACCCCCAGCAAGCCAGGGCCAGCCCACAGGCCACCAGAGGAGTGGGCTAGCCACTGCAGCAGAGTACATCTGCTTCCTTAAAGAGAAAAGGACTAGCAACACCTCCCACAAGCCTGGCCACGATCCCAGGACATTCACTCCCCCGACTTCAACACCAGGACAACCCTACTTGGTCCCAACATGTCTCAGAGCTTCTTGCCCAGGCCCTACGGCTGGGCCACAGACATCCTGGGGACCCACTGAAAGTGCGTGCTCACTGTAGGTATCCACATTTTTCTAGAGGGAGAATTTTATAGTGCTCCTCCACATCTCAACGACGTCCACACAAAGATTGAGAGACACGCAGCGGCACATGCTGGCAATCATTTGGGGCCAACGCAAACAGTGGGGCAGAAATGCTTTCTCCCAGGCAGATCAGCCTCATACAGTCCCCACCGATTCTCTTTCCAGGGCTCTTCAACCTTCGCAGCAGTGACATCTCCTATAACCCCTTCTTCTATTCCTATACACTGCTCACGGACTCTTCCATCAGGTACCGCCTTTCCTCGGCTTCTGTCATGAGCTTCCTCTGACTTCCACACTCTCGTTTTCCCACCACTGACCCCACCCCAGTATATAGTCTTCACGCTGCCCACGAGCTCGGCACCTGCCCTAGCAAGATCCTCTAGGAAACCATCTGTTGGCTTTTCCTAACCCCTTGACCTCTGCTCCCAAGAAATCTCAAATTTGGGTGCTTGGCTCCCTATGCTGGCTTCTTCTGACCTTCAGGAACAAAGAAACTGTGTGTGCCTCTGGTTCTTTGTGCTGTCCTTAGCAGACACTCAGGACCCTCCCGGTCTTCCCTCCCTACCCAGGCTGTTTGCAAACAAGAGTCGTTTTAGTCCTGAGACCCTGCAGTACCTGAACTCTGGCTGCACGGGGCCCATGTGTGTACAACTTGAGGACTACAGCCAAGTCCGTGACAGCGTCCAGGCCTATGTCTCAGGAGACGTGCGGGTCTGGATTGGGACCCAATACACCATGTATGGGCTGTATGAAGTGATACCCAAGGTGGGTTTGCAGTGCCCTAGCTCATGCCAAGTACTGACCCCTGCTCAACCGTTCAGTCTGCTCGTCAGTGGACAGAGGTGCAGTGTGTTCCCTCCTAGGCCTCTCTGGGAAGAGGTAGAAGAGGAAGAAGTAGGTATGTTTGTCCACAGAAAGCTCATACAGTTGTTGAGGAGGCTAGAGAGAATGCAGCCTGGTCAGCAGAACCTGACACTGAATCTCGGCTCTGCTCCTAACTGGCCATGCAGTGACCTTGGGCAAGTAGCTTAGCCAACTAGGTCTCTGTTTCACTGCGTAGAAAATGACAAGAGTCCCGCCCCATAGGAGTTGCTCTGGGATTTAAAGGAGATGGGACACGTCAAGCCCAGTGGCTGGCACAGGGTGGGCGCTGTCTGTAATCTGGACAGGAAATTCACACTGTCCGAACAGTCTGTCACCTGACCCAGGCTAGGATCTGAGCCATTCCAGAGTGCTCATGTCACTAAGCTGCCTAGCTGGGCAGTGTTAATCAAGGAAGCCTGCCAGAAGGGAGAGAGGGAAGGAAAGAGGGCAGATGGGAAGGTTAAAATAGGCCCTGAAAACTAGGGAAGACATATAGCCAGAGAGCACAAGAGGAGAGGCATTGCCACAATGGGGAGCAGCAAGTCTCACCTCCGCTAGGACTTCCCAACAGTCCTGGACAGCACTACTGTGCCCTAGAGGGTGCTCCCACCCTCCTCTTCCCCCTCATTCCCAACAGGAGAAACTTGTGGCGGATACCTACTCCCCAGTGATGATAACCAAGGCGGTGAAGAACAGCAAGGAGCAGGCCCTCCTCAAGGCCAGCCATGTAAGTCCATGTGCAGGCAGACATGGCCTCTTGGGAGCTCCTGGTCTGATGGGTCAGAGAAGAAAAGCTTCTAGAGCTTTCCAAAGCCTTCTAGGGCTAAAGAGAACCTCACTGAAACAAAGGAGTAGACACCAAACTCCTGGGCAGCCCCCAGCCCCTTGGCCACTCACACCCAGTATAGTATAGTGGTTTAAAATGCAGGCCTAGAAGGTAAAGGGTCTAAGTTCAAACCTCGGTGTCACCTGCTTCCTAGCTGGGTAACCCTGGGCAATCACTTTTATAGGCCTCAGCTACTTCATTAGTAAGGTAAGAGGGATCAAAATAGTAATCTTACAGCATATAATTATTGTGACAATTCAATGAAAGCTATACATAAACATTACACAGGTTGATCAAAATACACTATGAATGTTTACATTTTAAAAATGTATTACAGTAAAAGACACATTGCCATAAATTTCCCTTGCTTTGAATATACTTATTCCATTGTCATGGCACTTTCTGAAGCAGTTCTGGAAGTCCTCCACTGTGAGTGTGTTACGAGGTTTGATCAAGATGTGGGTGCTACTGCCAAGGGCCATCCAACAGAAAGGCAGGCTCATAATGTCATCACTGTGTGTCCTTATCGACCTAATTCACTGGATCTGGCACTGTATGACTTCTGGGTCTTCCCCAAAGTCAAAATAACCATGAAAGTTAAAAAGTTTTAAATCAATTCAAGACATCGAGACTACAGAAGCATAACTCAAGACACTTATGAAAGAGGACTTCCAAAACTACTTCAGAAAGTAGCAAGAATTATGGGGAAAATGTGTTCAAAGTGAGAAGCACCATATTGAGGGGATTAATGGCAATGTGTCTTTTACTGTAATAATTTTTTAAACTTTAAACTTTCATTTTTTGAATGGGGGATCCCATCACTCAGGAGGCTGAGTCAGGAGGATTACTGCAAGTTCAAAGCCAGCCTGGGCTACGAAGTGAGTTCAAGGCCAGCCTGAGCTGCATAATGAAACCCTGTCTCAAAAAGACAACAAAATTAAAAAATAGATAAGCTTTCATTTTTTCAAACATCTCTCCTCTCTCTCTCTCTCTCTCTCTCTCTCTCTCTCTCTCTCTCTCTCACACACACACACACACACACACACACACACACACACACACAGTGCTTTGAGCACTGCCTGGAGCATCCTAAGTGTTAGTTGCAATGATTTCCTCACCCTGGCAAGAGAATGGTTCACCTTCTTTTTTGTGTGTGGAATTTTCTTGTTAAAATCAGAATAAAATAGGGCTGGGCAAGGTGGCACACACCTATAATCCCAGCACTCGAAAGGCTGAAGCAGGAAGATTGTCATGAGTTTGAGGCCAGCCTGGACTACATAATGACTTCAAGGCCAGCCTCAACTATTTAATGAGACCCTGTCTAAAAAAATAATAAACAAATAAAAAGGCTAAAACATTTCACAAATAAAACACCTTTTCTTAGGGAAGCTTTTCAACATAGACTATGGTAGAGAAAACAGCGTAACGACCCTTGTGTCCCCATCGCCCAACTTGAGCACTCACCAGCGCTCATCAACTCACGGCCAGTTGGGTTTCCTCTGTAACCCCGCGGAACACCCCACGCACGACCTCCACTGCTGCTGGCTTATTTTAGAATAAAACCCAGATATCATATCATTTCTGCTGTCAACACTTCAGGAAATATCTCTAAAGATAAAAATGCTTTTCAAAACATGAGCACACTGTGATCAGATATAAACATTAATGAGAATCCTTTGATATCAAATAGCCAGTCAGATCCTGTTGTTTTTAACGCTCCAAATCCCAGAGCAGCCATGGGGATCTGTGGCTGACACTCTGACCGTACCTCAGCCCGCTTCTCCTGACTCCCCGCCCACCCCTGCCGCAGGTGCGGGACGCTGTGGCTGTGATCCGGTACTTGGTCTGGCTGGAGAAGAACGTGCCCAAAGGCACAGTGGACGAGTTCTCAGGGGCAGAGTTCGTGGACCAGTTACGAGGGTGAAGGATGGACTCTCGTTCTGTCTGAGGGCAAGGGCAGGGAGGGGTCATTATTCTCCTAGGTGGGGATCAGGATGATCCTCCTCCCCATTTGAAGTCAGAGTAACAGGTTCTTGGGTGGTCTGGGAGCTGGCAAGGGGATGTTGAATGACATTCCCCAGCCCAGCAGAAAGCTGAAAGTGGGGACAACCCAACAGCACCCCCTAGTGTCTGCTTCAGACCCAGGCTTGCCATGCCTGGGAGAAGCTGGTCCTGGCCAGGCTACACTGGACCACTTGAAAATTGCCGGAAGGGAGTAGGGCTCCCAAGGTGCTCTCACACTGTAGGTTTGAGGCGTATGACACCGGCCTGGGCTCAGGTAGATTTCAGATACAGGAAGCTAGCTCTCTTCTACTGCAGTCTGTAAAACGGAGATGGAGGTGTAAAGTCTATCCTCCGATCTTGAGTTCTCTGTAAGTGACAGGACAGGGTTGAGGAGATGGAAGCAGGAGGTGGGCCGGGGTGCGAAATGGAGTTGGGCTGCAGTAGAGACAGTCGCGACCTTCATTGGACCTGGTGAGATATCAGGGCACAGCCTAGTCCCTGAGCACATTCACCGACCGTTACTTGTCTGGCACTCTCCAGAAAAGAAGACTTCTTTTCTGGACCCAGTTTCGAGACCATCTCTGCTAGTGGCCTGAATGCTGCCCTCGCCCACTACAGGTACTTCAGGAGAATGAATTTGCTGGGGCTCCGCGTGGGGACTTCTAATGGGCGCAAAGGGTTGGGGGAGGGGAGGGAATGCTGTGGGCCTTGAGCCCACGCTTAAGGTTCAAGGCCCTCGGCGGTGTGAGAGGTGGGGTGGAGCTTGGTTTCAAGGAGCCTCCTTGAAATGGAAAGGCCTGAGCAGCTTCTCCCCAAGACACTGGGACTTTGTGAACACTTGGATCTGAGGGGTGTGGAGGGCAGACATGGATGCTATCAGATGCTTTTCTTCGGCTTTCTGTGAGTTCTTTATGTAAGGTAACCCTTAAACTTCATGAGCAGTCATGGAGAGAGGGCTGTTCACTCAGCCTGAACAAGCCGTGGTGGCCCAGGATGCAGACTAGCCAGATAGCAGCCCCACAGAAAACAAGCCACGGCGCCCTGCCTCATGAAATGCGGGGGAAGCACACTGACCAGATGCCTCAGCCTAGCATGAGCATAGCAGCAAGAAGGTGGATGCCCCTCCAAGGGATGGCCTGACATAGCCTGGAACTCCCACCCCTGGTGTCTCCTGGTCTCTCCCAAGCCCTCGGCTGCCCTGCTCCAGCCCCTCCTCCCCAGCAGAGCTAGAGGGTGGCAGGGTAGCTAATCCTTACCCCTCCCCACTCTGCCTCTCCAGCCCCACCCTCAGGGTCTCCTCCCTTCCTGTGCCCTGGCTTCCTGAGGCCCTCTGATCTGCTGGCAGCAGGAAGTTAGAGAAAGAGCACAGGATGGAGGATCCAGGTCCAGGCCCAGCTCCTCCCTGCTCTCCTGGGTGGCCTTGTGCAAGCTCCTTTGCCTATGTAGGCGCGCTTCTCCTTGTGTAAAAGGAAGTACTAGACTGGGTGATCTCTATGACTCTCCTAGCTGCCACGTTCTGGGTTCCTTCCCTTATCCCTTCTTTGGAGACCAAGGCCTTGCTTGGCCAAATGCAGGATAATCTGAAGTGTGCTGCGCACAGTAGCAGCTGCCGTTTGGACTCTTTGGGAGACAATGACTTCCCCAGAGTACCGAGCTTGCAAGCTCAGCCCCCAGGGTTAAGCTTTCCTCTGCTGTCACTCAGGGACACCCTCCCAGCCCAGCGCAAGGTCAGGCTGCTCCCCTCTCAGCATTGTCTCTCCTTCTCAGCCCGACCAAGGAGTTGAACCGCAAACTGTCCTCAGATGAGATGTACCTGGTGGATTCTGGAGGGCAATACTGGTAATGTACTCCCCACCCACCTGGCTAGCTCAGCTCAGAGATCCTGAGGTGGGCAAAGCTTCCCTTTCCTGGCCCATGGGTTCACCTGAACCTGGAGAAACCTGCATTGAATGGACCCTGAGCATCCTTCTCATTTTTAACTTGGGAGGTCAGTGCGCAGTGGGAAGCACACAGAGGCCCAAATGGTGAGGGTATCCATGCAGCACCTCTGTGAGAATAAGGAAAAGACTTGCTCATTAAAATACTTTTTTAAGTCCACACATTATTGCACAGCCCTGCCTGGATGCACAAACACACCCCCATAGTCTCACACAGCCCCCACACCGCCAGCACCACACGTACTCCTGAGCCCCTGTCTCCCCAACGGTTCAGGTGAGATGACCATGTCAAGTGGGGGTGGGGCAACTAAGAAAAGCAAGCCTTTAGATATGTATATGTTCCTTGTGCAGTGCACAGCGGGACACTCAGACAAGACAGCCACGCAGATTAGGCCAATGCTAATCCTTCCAAGCATGCGACTGTTCTTTCACATCAGACCCGATCTAACTGACCTGACCCCAAAGCTGTTCCATTCTCATCTAGGAAGCAAGTAGGCTGAGGGATGTGCTGAACTGAGGACGGAGCAAGGAGTAGTTTCACATGGCTTCCCAGCTGCTTTCCCGGGCATATAGGGAAGATGCCACGACAGAGGCTCTTTGCATGTTCTCAGTGCAGCTCTCGGGAGCCAGTGTGGCAGGTGTGAGCTCAGCAGCCTTTGCTAGTAACCAGCGCGGTGCCGTGTGTATTTGAGATGGCTGATGTGCAAAGGGAAGTGAAGTTGTTGGGGCGTGTGGGCTTGGGCCATGCTCAGAGTAGGGTGAGGCTGGGGAAATGGTCACCTCACTTCCTCTTCTCTCCTTCTGAAGAAGTTCACCACGCCCCATGACCTACTCCTGAGGAGGAGCCCCTGGACCATAGGACATTTCTCCCCTCCCCCCTTACCCTGGGAGGGAATCACAGGCACCATCCCACTGCAGCTCGAGGTTGGGGGTCAGACCTCTGGCTTCTGGCTTCACCTCGCTGGGACCCTGAGAAAATCCCTGGATCAGATCCACGTTCACAGGGAGTGTGGAGAGTCAGTGCTTGCTCTGAGCGGCTTCAGCAAGGCCCAGGGTCTCCCAGCCTCAAGGCTTTAGTTGCCTCATTTGTGAAATGCGGATGATGAGCCCTGCTCCACCATCCTGCCCAGGGAGCTGAAGAAGCATCCTCCAAATGGTAAATAATTGTGTGAATATGGGAGTGTTGTGGTAGTTTCAGAAACTCAGTCTCCTCTATAAAAAGGAGATAATCCCTGCTGCCTACCAGGAAGCCTGGAAGGAGCCTTGATTTTAGAGCCAGCCTGACCCACAGACACTAGAGCTACAAAATAACCAAAAGGGAAGATGTGTGTGTGAGGAATCGAGATTGTCGGAGAGCATAGTGACTTGGAACTTCAGAGTTCTGCAGAGCCCTCTCGGGTATGGCTGCTGAAGGTGTGATGTCAAGGAGGATAACTACCTTCCTCTCACCTCCCTTTGGCCTGATCCCAGCCCTGTCGCTGGGATCTCAGTGGAGGACACACAGGAAGCCATGGTCCCAACCTTCTGCCTGTTCCCAAGCAGTCAGCAGGGCCAGACATATCGGTTTCCCCTTTCCCCAGGGACGGAACCACAGACATCACCAGAACAGTCCACTGGGGTACCCCCTCTGCCTTCCAAAAGGTAAGCCCCACGCCCAGCACTCCCTTGTGCACCCTCCCGAGAGGGCCCCAAGCTCTCGCTCCACCAAGAGCCCTTTCATTTGACAGATAGGATGAAACAGAAGCCCAGAGAGGTTCAGTAGTTTGCCCAACAACTTAGTTCCAGGAAACTCAGAGTGCTCTGCGGGTCAGCCTCAGAGATTTCGGAGCAATAAGAAGGCCCCAGTGCAAGCTTATCCTCCTCCCATTTTGGTGCATTATTGCCCAGATGTTTCTTCCGTGCTGTGTGACCTGCCTTGTGCTTGGCAGAAAGGCGGAAGAAGGGCATCCCAAGTGGAGGAATGCTGCACAAGCAAAGTCTCAGCATGGAAAAGATCTGGAGGGGTTCAGGAAGCCTCAAGGGCTGGTCAGCTAGGGCAGAGGCTGGGGTGTGTCTTTTTGCCTAAGGGGCCGCTAGGGGTGGAGCAGAGAGCTGTATTCCTGTATTGAGCAACACACTGTGAGTCTGACATGCTGGAAACAGAGAGAGGAAGTGCTGTCTGGACCTACTGCCTTCAGGCTGCTGGGCAGCAGGTGACAAGTCTGTGTGGACACATGGTGAAGACTGACAGCATGGGCACTGGTAGTGACCAGAAGAGGCCACCCTCAGCCCTGACAGAGGAAGGCTGGCCTGCCAACTGACCAGGCCCAACCTAAGTTTCAGGTCTTAAGGAAACTAAAGGTTGGGCTGGGAGTGTGTCTCCGTGGTAGAGCACTTGTCTAGCATGTGTGAGGCTCTGAGTTCCATCCGTAACACAGAGAGAGAGAGAAAGACAGAGAGAGATAGAGACAGAGCTCATCAGAAGCACAGCGATTAGAGTGCTAATATTTACTTAAGGATTTATTTACTACATTACATTTATTATTGATCCATTCCTCCTCTTGACCACCTTAGGAGCTAGGTACTGTTATCACCCCATTGCAGAAGAGGCTCAAAGAGGTAGAACTGAGGCAATAAAGAGGTGAAAGTTATTATCCCTAGGTCTCAGAGTTTGAGAAAAGGGAGTGGCCAAGGCAAGATTCCAGCCCAGGAAATGTGCCTGACACCCTCTGCAGTCACCACCTTCTACAAGCGTGTCCTAAGCACATTAGAATGACCCCTGTGGACCAGGCAAAGGAAACCGCAGGGACCAACACCCAGCTTTGGGGATATCCCCCTCGGCCGCCTTTGGCCATCATCCGGAACCTGGGTGACTGCGCATGAGGACATATCTCCCTAAACCCCGCCGTAGGCACCACCGCCTGGGCACCCACACCTGCATGCCCCCAGGCCATGCAGCCAGGAGCTCCCGGCCCCTCCACACCATTCCTTCCTCTCTCGTTAGGAGGCATATACCCGCGTGTTGATGGGAAACATTGATCTGTCCAGACTCATCTTTCCTGCTGCTACATCAGGTGGGTGTCAGAGACCAGGCTAGACCTAGAACCCCAGACCCTGATGTCATGAGACTCAGACCGCCACCCCGGGAGGCTGCTGGAGCAGGGATTATATCATCATCCCACCCCCATGTAGGTGAGAAAAGCTAGCCTAGAGACAGAAAAGGATTACCTAAGGTCACAAAGACCTAGGCAGATCTCTTAGTGGGAGAATGGGGCCGGGAACTCAGATCTCCTGCCTCCTAATCCATTATTGTTGCTCAGGGATAGAGGAGATCAGTGTGGGCTCCAACAGTCATAGGAAGACTCTTGGAGGAAGTAGGTATCAAAGTGCTAAGCCTTGACCCAGGGAAAAATTCAGTTCCATTGTCATCAGTCCAGGTAATGGGTGCAATGTACAGTGTGCTGCAGATAATGAGGATCTGGGCTGACTTCATCCATGAGCTGCTGTCCATCCCAACCCAACCTCACTGTGTCATTGCAGACTTTCCTGCCTCTCAGGACTCTCCCTCCTCTGGTCCCACCTTGGTGGTTGAACAGGAAAAGGCAAAGTGGGCAATCTGGGATCCAGCCAACTAACCAAGAGTGATCTCTTTTCCCTCCCAGGGCGTGTGGTGGAAGCTTTTGCCCGCAAAGCCTTGTGGGATGTTGGGCTCAATTATGGCCATGGAACAGGCCACGGCATCGGCAACTTCCTATGTGTGCATGAGTGTAAGGACTCCGCCCCCACCCCAGAGTCCCTCCTTAAGTACACTCCCCTCTGAAAGAGAGCATTTCACAGGTATGGGAATTACCAAGATCCACAGAGATGCGATGAGTCATCCAAGGTTACTCAGCTGGTGGGAGGGCATGCTCCACAGAGTAAATGAGCAGTGCCAGGAGCTGGCCAATCCTGCTTCCTGTTGGTATACAGAAGGGCACCAGAGAGAGGACAAAGGTCTAGTGGCTGACTGGTATAGAGCCCAGAGAAATAAAATCCGGTCTGATGTATGCCAGCTCCAGGTAGACAGTGATGTGGTGGACAAGTAGTAGGATGCCCCCAGTTAACTGGACTTTCCCAGAACCTGCTTGTTCCAAGCTAGTGAGGACAGGAGAGCTGACACTATGCCTATATCTTCCTTTCCAGGGCCAGTGGGATTCCAGAGCAACAACATTGCCATGGCCAAAGGCATGTTCACTTCCATCGGTATGGCTCTTGAGCCCCTCCACCACACTACCCCATCCCAGAGCCAGGCTCGCTGGGCACTGCAGTCGTAGGTGTGCTGCTTACCTTCAGAGAGTATTCCAAGCACAAGTACAGAGCCAGCCCTGGGTTCCACTGCTTCACCTCCTCGCTTCCCAGCTCCCGTTCCTACTCTTACCCACAGGAAGAAGGCAATGCCTCCAGAATCCCAGTGGGCTCTTCAGTCTTCCCTGCTGTGGTACAAGGGAGGAAGAGTCATGCCTGGGGGAGAGCAGAGGCTACACAGTTACCTCTGCTTACCCAGTGAGCGTATAACAAGTTATGGGGCTGCCAGAGCCAGTGGCCAGAAAGCAGCAAGGTAGCCTGGCCCTCCAGCTCCTTGTTGATTGGTGTAGAACGCCTGGGCATGTGTACGCTCTGCTTAAAGCTGTTAGTATCTCTGTGTCTCCCAGAACCTGGCTACTATCAGGATGGAGAATTTGGGATCCGTATTGAAGATGTGGCCCTTGTGGTGGAAGCAAAGACCAAGGTAAAGTGACACTAAGCTGGGCTGGAGGTGCGGATGGTGTGGCAGGCACTTCGGGTTGTAGGGGGGGTTGGTGAGGGAGACCAAAGGAAAGGGCCATTTTAGTGTGCATGGGAGCACACTTCATTTGGAGTCTTCCTTAGTGCCATAGGAATTCCATAAATCAGCTTCTCAAACTGCAGGTTAGAATCATCGGAAAGCTTGTTTTCTAAATGTCAATGCCAGGCCTTGCTCCAAACCAAGTGAATCCATATCCCTGCCCTAAATCATTTGGTTCTCAGCGCACATAATATTCGCCAGAGGAGCCTGTTAGAAATAAAGATTTGCTATTATAGTACCCCACAGGATGAAATACCTAGATATAAACTTTAAAAGACTTACCTGGAGAAATTCTCTACTAAGGGACATAAAAAAGATTTAAGTAAGTGGTATTCTCTAGAAAGAAGTCCCAATATTATGAAGATGTCATTTCTCCCTAAATTAATCTATAAATTCAAGACAACCTCAATTTCAATTTTAACCAGATACTTTTGGAACTTCACAAAATGATAGTAAAGTTTATTTGTACAAATAAACATGCAAAGACAGCTAGATAGCTAAGAAACTTCTTAAAATGAAGAGCAATGTGGGAATATCAGATTTGAACACAAGCTACTGTAACTAAAACAGGATGACACCAGAGACAAAATAGAACAATGGAACTGAATAGTTAGTCCAGAAATAAACCCTCTGGTTCCCATAAATGACATGGGGATTTAGTTTCTAATAAGGCTGATGTTTCAAAACAGGTATAGTAATTATTCAGTAAATAGGTAAGGAGAACCAATGGCTAATCATTTGGGTAGTGAGTAAACTGAATAATACAACCATTACATCCAAATAAAATCTTGTAATGATCAAAGTTTTAAGGTGAACAATGAAACCATAAAACACCTAGAAGAAAGCTTACAACAATTTCTTTAATACCAAGGTGGAAAGGAGACTTTTTATTCAAAACCCAGAAGCTATGAAGGAAAAGATTGATAACTGACTTAATTTAGTAGAAAATATCTATATGGAAATAGTACCATAAACAAAATCAAAATATCTATGATAAATACAGCACATGTGGCAAAAAGGGTGACATTCTTTAATTTTAACATGTGCTTTTACATAGGCAAAACAAGGTACATGCCTGTATACCCAGCCCTTGGGAAGCTGGGGCAAGAGGATCACAAGTTTGAGGCCAGACCGGGCTATGCAGTGAGTTCAAGGCTGGCCTGAACTATATAATGAAACCCTGTCTCAAAAATAAATAAATAAAATTAATTTTTTTAATTTAAAAAAATGGGCAAGGCAAAAAATGAGCAAAGGCTACAAAGAGGCAACTCACTAAAATCATTGCAAATGGTGCACACATGTAAAAAAACACTCAACTTCATATTTCAAGGAATATAAATCAAGATACCAACAGAATACTATATTTCACTATCAGATTGGCAAAAAATAAAGGCTTTGATATCTGGTGTTGGTAAGTATGTAGTGAAATGAACATTTCTCATACATTGTTAGAAAAAGTATAAACTGGCACAAACTTTCTGGGAGAAATTTAACAAAATCTATCAAAATATCTATTGAAATTCCTGTGCCTTTTGCCTCAGCAATCCCTGCATGAGGTCTGTACCCTCTAGACAGTCTCAAAAGTTCATCAAGATGTTTACACAGTGATATTGATTTGTAGCACTGAAGATAATAATAAAAAATTGGAAACAGTATAAAAATCCATAATGGTTACATAAATCACAGTGTACCTCCACACTATGGACTCTTATGTGGCTTTTTAAAAGATGAAGTAGGGCTAGGGATGTAGTTTAGTGATAGAGCACTTGGCTAACATGCACAGGGTTCTGGGTTTGATCCCCAGCACCAAAATGACCATGACGGTGATGAAGATAGTGATGATGATGATGCTTTTCTTGTTCTAACTAATATGGAGAGCTCTCTTGGATTTACTATTAGGTAAGGGAAAGAGAAAGATACAAAGAAATGTGTACGGTAAGATCCATTTTGCGTGAATTTAAAAAATATATACAGATACATATGTTATATACGCCTAAAATGTTTTCAGGAAGGAAAATGGGCAGTGGGGACTTTCCATTTTCATTGTACATTTTTGTGTAGCTTAAATTTCCTAAGCACATACACGCAGGACTCTCTGGGAGATGAAAATTATGGGATTTTTCCTCTTTATTTTACTTGTCTCTATTAGATAGATGAATCAGTAAATAGATACATAGCTCCAGCTAGTTGGGAGGCTGAGGCAGGAGGATGGCAAATTCAAGCCCACATTGGGCAACTTAGTGACTTAGCAAAACCTATCTCAAAATAAACGTAGGCTGGGAGTGTAGCTGAGTGCTAAGGACTAGGGTTCAGTCCTAAGGACCATAAATAAAATAAAATAAATGGGGCATGGTAACATACACCTGTATTTCCAGCACTCAGGGAGGTGAGGCAAGAGGATTGCTGTAAATTCAAAGCCAGCCTGGACTATACAGTGACTTCAAGACCAGCCTAAAATACATAGCAAGACCTTATCACCAAAAAATAATTAATTAATTAATTAATTAAAAGGGGCTTGGGATGTACTCAGTACTCAGCCCTGGGTTCAGTCCCGAGCACTGAAAAAAGAAAAAAAAAGATGAACAAAAAATTCTAATAACTTCCTTTTATGTTATTTAAATGTGGGTTGCCAGCCCTGCCCTAGAGATTCTGCTTTCACTAGGTCTGGGAGGTCCGCCCTGGATTCTACATACTTCATGAGCTCCCAGGCATTAATGCACACACTCTGAGAAGCGCAGACCAGACCTAAGTCACAATGGCAGGCACAGGAGGGGAGCTCCAAGCTGGGATGTCGAGTGGTAGACAAGAGGACTGGCCAAGGGAAGGGACTCTGGAAGGCTCAGGCCCAGGTCGCGTGTCCAGGGTAGACAAGTTCCATGTGGCCGTGGCTTCTGGGAGAAGTGCTCCCTCCCTCCCTTTCACTGAGCTCCTCTTCCTCCCCCTTTGTCACTTTCCCTGTGGGCTCTCAGTACCCAGGGACCTACCTGACCTTTGAAGTGGTGTCCTTTGTGCCCTATGACCGGAACCTCATCGATGTCAGCCTACTCTCTCCTGACCAGGTGAGTGCTCCGCAGCACTGCCTGCCCTTGAGCTTGTGATGACAGCCTTCTCCCCAACCTAGGCCTGTCCTGCTTCTACTGCCCCTACTCCAAGACCCTCTACCCTTGCCACACCCAGGAGGCTCTACACTGGCGACCCTGTAGGCACACACTGGGTTGTACCTCCCCAGATCACCAGAGGCCCCAAAATTTTAGAAATGCCCAAACAGACCAACCCACCCAATGTAAGGTAATGAATACTGGAGAAGTCAGACTAGGCCTCTGAGCTCTGCCACTGTAAGTCTTAGAACTAAGCAATCCCTTCCTTCTCCTCTCTGGGCCTCAGTCTCCTCTTTTGTAAAATGGGGCTGCCAGCCTTGTTTATTCTCACTCATGAGCCTGAAATCCACCCACCCCACCCTCCCTGGAGATCACCACAACATTAAGCAGCCACTACGGGGAGCTGCTTCTGAAAGCCCAGAGAATACCTGAGGCCTGATACTGGCGGGTCCCTGGGACCAAGGCTGACAGTCGGAATACCTCACAGAAGAGACTGACACCAAGCCCTTACCTCCTAATGCTCAGCTCAAACCTTCTTCCCTTTGCAGCTCCAATACCTGAATCAATACTACCAGGCCATCCGAGAGAAGATAGGCCCAGAGCTGCAGCAACGCCAGTTGTTGGAGGAGTTCGAGTGGCTGCAGCGACACACAGAGCCCCTGTCTGCCGGGGCTCCACACACAGCCTCCTTGGTCTCTGTGCTGGTAGCTTCTACTCTTGCCATTCTCAGCTGGAGTAGCTAGAGGCTCCCGATTCCCTGCTGACACTCCACCTGGACGTAAGACTCACTCACTCAGCTCCCCTCTGCCTGAACCATGCATCATGCCCTGAAAGCCCCTGCCAGCCCACAACTGGAAGCCATTGCCCTCCGCTTGCTCCAGACCAGGCCCCAAGCAGCACATCCCCTCCCCAGGATCTGTAGGCCTGACGCTGGACTCCCAACCCTAGGCCTGGAATAGCAGAGCCGGCCAGTCCTCTCCTCTTGTAAGCACAGCTGCTGTGCCTCTGCACAAATAAAAGACCAAAAGGGCAACGCTTCTACCTCCAGGAGCTCCATGACCCAAGGAGAGCCCTCCCCGTCACCACCTGCTGGAGAGCTCCAGAGCTCTTCCCACTCACACTGGGTCAGGGCTCTTGGGTCTTCCATGCAATTTAGGCTGCCTCTGGCCACCACCCCCAGCCCCCAATTCTATAGTGGTCTCCTGGCGGGGCTGGGGATTCAGCTCAGCGGCAAAGCGCCTGCCTGGCAAGCACAAGGTCGTGAGTTCGGTTCCCGGTACCGGAAAAAAACCAAAAAAAAAAAAAAATATATATATATATATATATAGTGGTCTCCTGGCTACATCCCCTGAGGCTGAAAGGACCGGCTCCTTCCAAGTTGCCCGATGTACCTGTAGAGGGAGGGGAAGCAAGGATGGCTACATCCTCTAGTTGCGCAATGCCAGTCTCGGCCTAGAGAGAACAGACCAGTCGAGGCAGAGTAGCCCTGCAGCTGGAGACCAACCAGGAGCATGCACCCATGTGTGAGCCCATCGCTCCCAAACCCTGAGTCCACTCTATGCCAAGGGGCAGCATAGGGCATTTAGGTGCAGGAACTTGGCTATGGGGTAGAAGGGAAAGTGGCCCTATAAGAGATTGAGGAACAGCCTAAGCAAATGCACACGGTCACTACCCCAGACCTCCCCAGCATTCCAGGAGCCCCTTTAACTTTTGAAATTGCAGCTACAGACAATGCTGTTAAACCCTCCCATGTGCTTGGATGGCCCTGCGCCTCTGTGGCAGTCTGGTTTAGCCATTTTACAGACAGGAAAACTGAACTTCAGACAGGAGGTGAGCCCTGCCCCAGGCCACACAGCCCGTGGTTGAGAGGCGGTAGGGACAAATGGGCCTGCAGTCTAGCTCCTTTGCCGTCTAGAACCAGGTAGACTCTCCTAACTTGCCCGTAGCTCCCTCCTCATTCTCTGAGCCCACTGTTGGGGTGAGAAGAGTTTTCTCCAGCCGCAGTCTGGCTGGCCTGCCTGCCGTTAGCCACCTGGGCTCACATCCTGCTCGATACTTAAAACAGCCTTGCAAAGTCGCCTGCCTCTGGTTTTACATTGTGTCTGTGTTGCTGGAGGCTGTTGTTACCTGTGGCTTTTGTGGTGGGGAGGAAGAGAGGCTACAGTGGGGGTGAGGATGTGAGGCTCCTGGCAGCTCAGCGGGGGAGCACATGGGCTTGAGAATGTCCACGTGAGCATGCGTATGAGTGTGTGTACATGCACCTGTGCACAAGCGCATGCACACCACTCCCTGCCAGCGCCTCCAGCCTGTGCTCAAAATGGTGTACCTTTGTGAAGTGGACGGAGGAGCCTCATGCTGGGGAACTTGTCAGACGGGCTCCATGGTCCAGAAATGTTGGAGCTAGCACCTTTGCCGCAACAGAATACAGTAGGGATGGGGAGAGCAAGGCTCTGGGGGCAGGGTGCTGGGCAAAGACATCAGGCTGAGAAGTCTCTTGACTGGGACCACAAGGCCCAGTTTGCTGAGTGTGAAGATGACCTGTGACAGTTACCAACACCAAAGCTTGCATCCCTAAGGTCCAACCCTGACCCACCCTCACTGAGAGCCTGCAGCAGCCAGCAATAGACCTTTGGTTTGCTACGTCATTTGCCCTCTCATCTCTCACCTCACAGACAGCTACTACCAATAAAATCGAAGATGTTGTGGTCATCACCATCATCATCATCACCATCATCACCATCATTGCTACCATTACCCTTCTGTGTATACCGCTATGCAGAAAGCTTTACACACATGTTCCCATTTTATCCTCACAACCCAGGAGAAAATACTTGCATTCTTCCTGTTTTACAAGTAAGGAAACTGAGACATCCTAGAGATTAACCAATTTGCTCAAGGTGACTGTTTTAATCAAAAACAAGATTCAGACCAGTCTTATGGCTCCAGAACCCCTTCTCTCCAAAAAAGGACACATGGTATGGCTCTCCCCATTTTTCAGATGAGAAAACTGATGCATGACAAGGATCACACAGCTAGGGAGCAGCAGAGTCTACATGGTACAAGTTCCCCAGGGCCCACCCGGCCAGGTCATCCCTGTCGCTTGCTCCTGGGGTTCTGGCCAGTCATAGGCACTGATGAAGAACCACTTTCAGGCCTTTCAAGCCCAAGGCAGCTCAGTGTTAGCCTTTCCTCTCTTCAGCCCAAGGCCCAGGCATCCACCTCATCTCCTCACTACTTAGCTGCCCTTCCGACCTTCCACCTTGGGGTTGAGGACCACAGCCCTGGAAGCATGGCTGCAGGAGAGGCTGCCATCAATCCAGCTCTGGCTTTCGCTGGGGTCCAGACAGCAGTACTGACTATGCCTGCTTTGGAGGCTTCCCTCTGGGTCAGGCAGGGAGACACTCAGGGTACACAGCAGAACCCAATATGTGGGGGCTCTTGTGACATCACTAGGAATAATATCTCTCCATGCCACTTGAGTTCTTGTCCTTTATTTTCATGCTAGAAGATGGAGTTTACCAAACTTCTCCTTGCATGCTCATTGCAGCCATGGAGCAGACCACATGGAAAAGCCCCTTTTCCTAAGAGTTTGCATTCTGGGATTCTGGTCCCAGTTGTACTAGCTATGTGGCCTTAGGCAAGTCATTTCCTCTCTCTGGTCTTCAGTTATCCCTTCTCTAAATTACCCATACTGCCTTTCTGGAGAGGTGATGGAGAGCAGCCCACAAGACCCAGATGTGGCAGCATTCTCTAACCCAGGAAATGGCACAGACAAGAGATGATAATGTGGTTATTCACACAACACAAAGTCAACTCTTGCTCACCTTTGGAGGAAATAGGGAAAAGTTTAATGACCCCACTTATACATGTACATAGCCAAAATAAAAATGTTTGGGAGCATACATCTAGTTTGTAGGGTTTTTTTTTTTTTTTTATCCCAACTATGCTTCCTGGAGCTTGAGGCTCCTCAGAAACGCTCCAAGGGTTGTAACAAAAAACAAAACTCCAACAAAAAGCAGCCCTTATGGGCTCCCCAAAAGATGGTGTTTGAAGTAGTCGGGGGGCCAGCTTCAGGAGTATATGACCTGTGCAGTTGCTGAGGGACTTCTGCTGGGGGTGGGGGATAATGCCGTCACATGTCTTGTGATTCTTATTATTTTTAAAAAGGACCCCACATTTTCTGCCAAGCTCCACAAATTCCATGTCTTGTCCTGAATAGGAGCTACATGACCAAACAAACATCTTGGGGCCAGGGATATAGCTCAGTGGCACAAGCACCTGCTTGGCAAGTGCCAGGTCCTGAGTTCAATTCCCAGTACCGAAAAAAAAAAAAAAAGAAGCAAACATCTAGTTCAATCTCTTCAATGTGCAGATTGGAAAACTACAGCAGCCCAGAAAGAGGAAGGGACATGCTCAAGGTCACACAGCCCTTTAGAGCCACAGTGAGGATCCTAATTCAGCTCTTTGCTAGCTCATCCCCCCTCCCGTCACTTGCAGTGTAGCTGTGACATCTCTGTCTCTCCTACATTTCTCTAAAGAGCAGACTGAGGCCTATGAAGACCTGTTCGAGAGCACAGATGTGACAACCACAGTGACAATGGTATTGTGCTACATTTCTTGATGTTGCAAATCCTTTCTGGAAAAAGAGAATGGGTAAGATGATAGATACGTGCACATACACACATATACACAAATACTCTAAATAGCTCATTTTTAAAAGATAAGTAAATCAATCCTCACTCATTTGCCAGCCAGCTGGCTGCAGCTGTTCTCGAGCTGGGGCCTCAGAAGGGGGCTGGGCTGGCTACTCTTCACCCAGCTAACCCACGTCAGCAGTGCGTTTTACCAGCTCACTGGGCACTTTCTCAAACAATAGATGGACACACTTGGCACCAGAAAAATAAATATGAAAGATGCAGTAATAACTATTTCCCTCCCCACAAGGCCCGTCACGGCTGGGAGTGGGAGGTGCTCCCCAAACCTGACCCAGTCAGTCCTCGCTGTGAGGCCAGCCCATCTCTTCACTTCCTGTTTCTTTGTGAAACAGGAACTTAGCAAGCAGCTCAAATTGGGTAGGATGGGTGGTTGAGAAAGCCCCAGTGGGCCATGGCAAGGCAGTAACAGTGATAATGTGGTTTCCCTCCCAGCCGGTCCCAAGCAGCTTTAGGCCTGCCTGCTTGTCACACCTCCTGTGCCTGAGAGTACTTTGGACTGAGGGACCTTGCACACCCTGGATATGGGCCATGGGGTCATGTGGCAGAGATTCAGACGGGGCCCGGAAGACTTATAGAAGAATGCACCAAGGGGATGTCTCTGAGAGAAGGTAGCAGCTCCCAGTCATTCTCAAGGTCTTCCTGGCTTTGGCAAGAGGAGAGACTCTGGGTGGGAACGTGGAATGATTTGATGTGGAGGCTCCCGCCAGGTAGCCACTATTTTCTGCAAGCCAGACACTGGGCCGAGAGTACCGCATGTGTGTCATCTGACTAGTAACCCTTTTCTCTGTCTCTCTCTCTCTCTCTCTCTCTCTCTCTGTCTCTCTCTCTCTCTCTGTCTCACACACTTACACACAAACAGACACAAAAACACACGAGGACCATATTGTGACCGATACTTCCTTCACAAAGGCGCAATGCGGGAGATGTCACTTGCCCAAGCCCATGCAGCCAACAGTGATCCTGGGACACTTGGGATCCTGTTCTACGGTCCCCATCTCTTAGAGGTGTTATTCTGTTCCTCTGTCTTCCCTAGGGCTCTAGAGAACTGTCTCTATGGAGCCAGGGGCCATTGTTCTGGTAACCTGGGGAAAATTCCTAGGCAGAACAGCCCAACCTAGGCTAGTCCCCCATAGAAAGGCTCTCTGGTGAGCCATGAGCATGTTTTGATCCGAGCACCCATGTCCAGCATCCTCTTCTGAGGGTAATTGCCACAGTTACCTGCAGGTGTTTTTTTTATTTTTAAACCGTGAATTTAGAGCTCTAGAGATGACTATCTTTCCCTGCGGGGGCTCCCCATGTTCCCACACTGAAAGGTCTGTGTATGGA